ACGATCTGACTGAACGGCTTCTCCCCGTTAAAGTTATTAAACAAATAGCTCAACGTGCCGCTGAATCAACATAACCGCTAGTTAGCGAACTGCCAGTTCAAAATGAAAGCATGAAGCCACCTTCGCCATTACCGTTGTGAAATCATTGAGCTAACTTTTGTTTATTTTATGGCACGAATCCGATTATGTGTATGACGATTTTCTAAAGACTAAAATCAAGAACAACATAATTAATGGAGAGCCGAGCAAACACTTGCTGACCTGAGAACGCCCTCCACCTTCAGAATCTTGTCACCTGTTCCAATAAGTCCACGCAAAGTACTGATGATTGGTAGCCCTGCCCCAACAGTTCCTTCATAGAAATAATGAATGCCTGACTGGCGTTGTAATCGCCTCAATCTCGCATACTACAGCACAACAAGCAAATTCTGAGCTTTGCATATTATGGCTACCTAGCATGAATATTAACTTCTGAAGTGCACACACTTGAAAACTTCATATCCAGTTTTTTTGCTCCAAGTCTTGTAGAGTAATCTTCATAAGACAGAGAACGAGAAAGATAATAATTCGTCAATTTGTCAAATGAGTGACAAATAAGAAACGGCATATCAATGAAGTAGTACCTGTTCATATGGTCCTGAATTGGCTATTTTGTTTGGGGTTATGATGTGGATGCCCTTCTGTAGCCAGTCATAGTAATTTCCGGTAACATCGTCGTCAGCAGTGCAATCTACAATCACAGCATTTGGCAAAGAGTGGCTCTGCATATGTGCTGTAAATATAGCGATATCCTTTGGGACTCCTTTAGTTTGCAGCAGCTCCTCCCAGTTTGACAAGTCAATAGCTCTGCAAAACATCGCAACATGCGTGAGAGAAGTCAATCAAGTTCATCTATATTGTCTAAAGAGGCGTCACCTTCCTCCGATCAACCTAGTAAGGATGAATTTCGAATCTTATTATGCAGGGATGAGCATCTAACTACAAAAAAACACTTTTCATGCTGCTCTTCCGTTTCAGAGTCGCTACTGTATCATCGTCAAAAAAAAAAAAAAAAAACAAACAAACAAACAAAAAAAAAACAAAAACAAAAACAAAAACAAAAAAAAAAAAACTCGAACAGGTCACAGATAAAATCGACGCGTACTCACGTTTCACTTAAGTACATTTTTGTTCTATTTTGAATACCCATCACACGAAAGTCTACTTTATTGTCCTCCTTCAATATTGCCACCTGATGACATCCAACCACTCAGATTAAAAATTTGAATATAAAAGAAAGAAAAGCAAAGAAAAGAAAAAAAAACGGAAAATATCAAGCTAGCTACTGTATGCAAAGCTCAATTCCACACGCAATTTTTTCTGGGTTTCATTGAAGATCACTTGAATGAAACCCAGAAAAAATCGAGAGCGATCAAAGCAATAAATACTGGATCTTAAAAAAGAATGATGGCAAATATATCGAATAGATACTGGCCTGCTCTTTAAATTGGTTCAGAAGAGCCTTTCCAATAGAGCCAGGACCAACAAGCCCAACAGCTATGGACGTTTCATTATGATAGAACCTGGAATGCACAGCCTTGAGAGCTCGAACAGCATCATTCTGATCCACCACCACTGTGATATTGTATTCTGAGCATCCTTGAGCGAATGCCCTCACATTGATGCTGGCCTGCAATACGCAGATGAAAAGAGTCCTTCAAGATAAGAAATTGGGGCTCCGAATTCAATTAATAGTGCGTAACACACGCTTGATATTCATCAGTAAAAAAAAATTAAAAAGTTTCTTTTAGGAAAAATTAAGTAAATGAAAACCAACTGCCAAGACACATCAAAATCACTCGGTCATCATTCAGCTGAACATTCTACACATCGAATTCTCTTCTGTATGTCCATGCAGACCTTAGAAAGCGCATCGAAAAGATTTGCACTAACATCGGGTGTGCTAGCCATCCGATGCCCCACTGCAGCAAGTATGGAACAATTTTTTACCACCTCCACCTGTGCAACAAAAAGACCACAGTTAGGAGCTCATACTGGGCTCTAGTTAAATATGGCCCTTCAACCACTAGCTAATAGTAAAACAGTTCATTTTGTGAAAGACCCATTACCTTTGATAACCGTTCAGCATCAAGATCTTTACGGAACTTCAGCAACAATGCTTCACGAACTGTGTCCGCTTCCTTCTCAGGAACCGCAAAGCACACTGAGTGTTCACTACTGGCCTGCAAGAAACATGTGGAAGAGCATGAAGTCAACAGGCTTTCTACATCAAATCTTAAACGCTGAATAGTTCAGCCATGGAAAGCCATACAAAAAAAAGGATAGATCTTATTCAGCGATATCACACAAACTCCAGATGGTATCCGAAAATTACATGCTTGCTACTATGGCTGTTCTACTCTCTTCTTAGAGAGATATCAACTAAATTCAACCATGAATTCTATATCCTTCTTGATACAAACCCATGACTCCCAAGTCACAACCAAGGAGGACCTCTGTTTAGACCTTGGAATCTCCCTCATACCTTTCGAACCGCCGCAGCAAGCAACTTCGCAGCCCACACCTCTCCGTGTCCTACCACCCAATCTTCTAAGGTCTCAGGAGCGTACCCAGCTGCAACCCGCATCAATTGATGTAAGTATGGGGGAACATCATGATGAAGTACACAACTACAATCTACGTCCTTCTCTTCTATTAAGTCATGCTCAAGGTGAAAGATATGTGCATTGAAGAAGACGTAAGGGAAGAAAATGAGGATTGATTTGACAGATTTCAATGTAAAAGTTCAGAGCCCATATAATACCGATACTTATAGCTCGAAGCATTGCCCGGAGATTGAAAATATCTGCTTCCAAGTCAGAGAGAAACGTGCTAAGCTCTTTCCCTATCTCGAGAAGAGTCTGCAGTTTTTTTGTGCTTGTCATAAACCTCTTCCAAGTCACCTTCGTAAGAAGCATCACGCTTTTGAGCTTTATATACTAGACCATACATCATGTCAGTAACCTGAGACATGGCTGACACAACTGCTACTTTTCGTTTTGAGGTATCTTCAACAATGATCTTTGCGACATTTTTAATCCGCTCAGAAGTGGCCACACAAGTCCCACCGAACTTGTGAACAGCCCATGACGCCCCAATTGGAAGAATGCTACTCTCCTCATCGGTGCTAAAAGCAGTCCCTGGAGAGATAATGCAAGACCACCTCGTTAAGGGCTGACGGATGTCGGGTACCTCATAAAAAACGTTCCACTTCCACTGCAGAATATGTGGTCTTGTGGACAAGAAGAATCAAATTATGTTACTTGTTTCCGTAGCAAACCTTCCATTTAATAACAGGATTATGGCAGGAGCGAAACCTGATGCTGCTACAATTGGCCTGATTCTTTGCTTTTTAACACTCTGACCGTGCAATCTGCAACTCGATACACAAGATTGAAAGTCATCACGTTAGCCACTAATATCCCGATTTCAGCGCAGCATTGATAAACATTGTTGACGTCGAAGAAAATAAACAGATTAGAACGTAATTGTCTGCAAAAAAAACTCAATGGATCAGTACTTAATGATCACTCGGCATAATTGAATAAAAATACAGCATTCACCACTCACACCACTCCACCAAATCCATCGTCAGGAACAGAAAACAGAATCAAACCAAACACAAACCACGCAAGTTTCAAATTACTCACAAACGTCCGGTTCTGACCCAAAAACAAAATCTTCAACAAATACCTCAAGAAAGCGTCACCCCTCTCCCTCTCTCTCGATCTCGTGACAACACGAACCTCAATAACGAATCCAAGGCACGGAACATAACGAAGCAATCGGCAGGAGAATGGCTAAGAATCTCTCACCTGACGGATGGGGTGGGGGGCAAGAGTACGAAGGATCGTGAGGAAGCTGCACTCAAGCAATCAGTGGAGGCTTTGTGGGTGGATCCCAAACACGGTGAAGAACGAGAGGTGTGCGAGAACGAAGTCGTCACCGACAGAGCTTGACAGGCAAATTGCAATGAAGCAATCATGACTATTGGACCAGCTACAACACAAAAGTGGGTATTTTTCAAGGGTTTAAGGAGGAGGTAAGACAAAGGCAAGAGTGAGATCAGAACCGATCGCGACAACATACAACAAAATTATTCTTAGGACCAACAATCTGTGTGTCGCTTGACGCCGCAACTGTCGCCGTGGTGAGCTCTTGAGACGCCTTGCGACACCGTCTTATGTTGTAAGAGTAATACAAGCGCCAACTTGGGTACCGATTTCCTTGTGATTGGGAAAAAAAAACCCACCGACAGTCCGATTAATGAGCGATCAATCATGTATTTGACTTAGTCTGTTTCGTGCATTTTGTCACCTGGAGTTTCACAATCCACTCGGTGGTTTTATCAATTTGTTTTGCTCAAATATTATATTTCACTTTGAAGGATTATATTTTGACAAACATAGAAGGTAGATGTGGTAGAATTTCATGGTGCCTTTTAAAGGTGGTGTTTTGGCTTCATGATTTATTGGTGGTTTTAAGATCACTTGTGAGGTAAGTTACTACATTTTATAGAATTTTTTCCAATATAGATTCTAGCTATTTTTTACATTTTTAGAATTTTGTCAAAAAAATAAAATTATTATATTTTTTTCAAAAAAATTACAATATAATTAACTTAAAATAATGAACAATATCAAGTTTTAAGTTTTTTTATTGTATTAATTTTTTACTACTTTAGAATAATAAAAGAAATTTTGTCATTTTGTATATGGGGAGTGAGAAGCACCTGGGAATATCCTTTAGGTCTTACCATTACTATATTTGGGCTTAATTAGTTGAGTTAATCGGTAATAAAGTGGTCTGCAGCCACTTCAGGTGGTATTCATTATTTGGACTAACTTGTTATAAAGCTTGAATTAACTATCTGAATCCCAGAAGTCAATTTCACAATTCCGTATTTCCTGAAGTCTGTACCCTATATGCCTGTATTTCATACGTGTGCCCTCGTAGGTCTGTTCTCCGAAGGTCGGTGCAGTAATCGACCACAGCACCATATATCAAGAACGCAACTTTGAACAGCAGGAAGCACTTACAATGCTTGCGTGGAAGGTAGCACAACTACATTCAGAGGACTACGGCTGAGTTCTACGCCGTTCGGGTATCTACACATTTTTCTTATGTTTGCTTTAAACACGCTAGTTCTATGTGGAAGCAACTAGTCTACTGCTTTCCCTCCGAGTCAATTCTGACCTGAGCTAAACAACAAAAGCTTAGGAAGAGTCCCTTAAATCATGGAACGACTCCCATTCAGTCAACTATGAATACCTACTATGGCTTTGATATTCGTGTCAAACATTCCGTCTGATGTAACTGACGGTTCCAATTGCTGCAACAGATCTGCGAAAGACGTATATCCGGTAAACCCTACAGAGATGCCTGAGGATCTACAGGGCGCGAGGGAAGGAGAGCGCGAGCATTGTAACGACGCAGACAGGGACAAAGTCAAGCATTCTCCCCCCCCCTCCAAAAAGGCCAACTAGTATAATTATTTTGGATAGAGCTTTTAATTCAATGAAGCGGTTTCAGATCGCTGTTTGGATTGAAGAGCGAGGCGAGCATCCCTCTCTTTCTCGTACTCTCGAAGATCAGACCGTTGGAGAAAGGCAACTTTATCCAAATATTTGTCTCCACTTTTCTTGTACGCTTCGAGCTCATCTTCTATTCCCTTCTCCTCTTTAAACTGCCCCCAATCCTTTCTACTTCTATCCAAAATATTGGGCTTCTGTTTTTTACAAATCTGCTGTAAGATACTATCCAGCCCAGATGACGATGAAGCGTGCATCTCTGATTTTCGTCTCGATGATTGGGCAGCCGTGGAATCCTTAGAATCTTCGGAAGTCTTTAAATTTGAGCTTGTGGTAGTGTCTGCTCCTTCCCTTAGCCTACTGAGTACCTCATTAACCTGCACGATCCGTAACACAATAAGAACAGTATTACATTGGAAGATAGGTTCTAAGAATTAGGCGTAATACTTAACAAACCGATGAAGGGTCCCATCCATTGAACTCTAAGCTATCGACGAAGAACGCTAACACTGTGAGGTTAAGCACACATTTAGCTTCAAGGAATAACCCGTACCAGGAGAGCAAGTAAAAACCAAACAATTCTGCATTCGAACGCAGAAGCAAAAATAACAAATCATGCAAAGTTCCCGTTTCGAGCCTACAACTAAACGAGCGAAATGTTTTCACAACTTCTGCAAATCCACACATCTCGTAGTAGAACCTAGCATAAGGACTTGACGACAAACTTAGCACCACAATCTAAAACCGCGGAATATTTAATGGTTTCCCAGGAGGTAGCTCCGATCTCAAAGAAGAAGAAATGTTGGGGTTGAGAGATGTACTTTTAAGTCGGATCCTGAAGAAGTGCTTATTTCCTTTATCTCCGCCTCATTTCGAGCACTTTCTTTTACTTCCACATGGTCATGAGCAGTGGTTGCCTGAATACCCTTATTCAGGCCATTATCAGCAGTTCCGTTCGTTACCTTCAGCAATTTCTCACCTTGGTCTGAAACTAACTTGGATCCTTTCGGTGGTGCAATTCCAAGAGACACCATCCAACTCTGCAACGTTTAATTTATCTGGTCAAAGACGTTATGGTTACATGCATGGAAACAAGGAAAAGCAGACAAATGATAAATGTCGCAAGTTAATCGGATATTCGTAAGTTTAGAGTAACGTATTTGTACGACAAGCAATCGATCATAGAGGAGAGTGACGAGTTAAAAACAGGCGTAAAATTACCGGCACAGCTTTGGATGGCTTGCTAGATTTCGACACTTTCTTCGTCTTCGGCAAGACCGTCTTGGCAGGTAAGGGATCCTTCACTTTTAACTTCTCCCAGATATCATTTACTTTCGCCTTCCTTGCCGCCCTTTCATCTACATTTGAACTCACAGTATTAATCTCTAAAGTGACATAACTGGCATTATCGCTAATTCATCTCTGAAGGCTGGGATCAAGCAACTGGCAGCAACCCAAACCCGACCCAACCAATCTAAGAAGAGGGAAACTGCACTCTAACCTCATCGTCGTCTATTGAAAATAACTCATCACCAGACTCATATACAAATATCCTAAAGTACCGGCATCGCCACAAAGATATCAGTGTAAGAAAGGTTCCTGATGAAATTAGGGCTTTCTCGATCAATAGGCATCTCCTGATCCAATCATTGACCTAGACTCGCCTTTCTCAAGAAGGTTAACTCCAACCAACCACAATCTCGCCTCTATAACTCCGATCAGCATCACAACACCAATCCAAAAAAAAAACTAAACTAAACTAAACTAAACGAACAAAACAGGGTGACTCTCGAAATGCTCAGCACGCAATGAATCCTCACCCGTACTACCGTCCGGGTTCACACCAATCTCGCCATCGTCCTTCCTCTCGGCCAGGTCCGCCATGGGTGCTCTCCTTCCGCAGAAACAAACCCGCACGCAGTCTTCAAGCGGACCACCGCAGCAGCCACCACGACCACAACCAACACCACCGAAAGGCTCCAACTAAGCTGACAGACAGAGAGACTTGGGCACTTCAATTTCTATTCTCTACGACGACAAATCGTGGCGACAACAAGTGTTTTTTTTTCTCTCTCGCAGAAGCGCAGAGAGAGAGAGAGGGCGGTGTTCGTAAATTTGGGGCGTGATGACACTGCTCTGACACGGTGTGTGCGGACGCAACTGCATTTGAAAACTCAAAAATCGGTTTCCGTCTCGGAAACGTCATTAGGGTATTTGGGGAAGGTAGGGAGGGAGTGTCGACACCAGCGGGGTCGGTGGAGAAAGGTCGCCTGAACCCGCAGCGCCGGGTCCGAGCCTCCTCCTCTGGACGGTCTGGAACAGCCTCGGTTGAAACACGGACAGTAGGTCCGGAAGGACCTACTCACTTTGTGATTCCATGGCGGAATGGCCCTCATGTCCCCTACGGCCAGGTTTAGGGTTTGGGCATGTGATTACGAAGACAGTTTTGCATGGAATTTCACGCTTATTCTTCATTTCTGTTGTAGGTCGTGGTGACCAGAGGCTGGCCGTGAAGCGGACCAGTATTGATGAAGCTGATTTTAGGATTGTAAAATTGATGTCATGTTTTTCAAAACAATTAACATTCACGTTTTTAGTTTTTATTTTTTATTTTATTTTTTATTTTATTTTTTCTGTCTTAACGATTTAAATTGTTTCAATATTAATCTTTTTCTTTCTTGAAGTCAAACTATATTATTGGAGAAAACATTAATCTTAATGTGTTTTTTAAAAACTACAAGTTGACTATATCTATGTGTTTGTAACTTTTTTTCATGTATTGAAATAAATAAAACAAACAAATTCTTCTAATAAAACTTCTTTACATATCTTGGTTCTTATATACTATTTTAAATTAAAACTCAAACATAAGTTTTTTTTTTTTTTTTTTTTTTTTTTTTTTGCAAAAACAATAATAATGCATTACAATATTGATGTCTATATATTTGTGTGTATATATAGGGTATTGCTAATGCCACCACACTTTTTTCTATTGCCACAACAAACCACATTCTCCTACATGTCACCTTTGTTTTATATCTTTCAAAATAATCAAATTTCCTTTCTTTGATACCTTTAAAACCATTTGATTGGAACAATAAGAAATTAAAGAAAGATGACAAGTGGATGGTAGATTGTAGCAACAATAACAAAAACTTTGGTAGCATTAGTTATACCTTATATATATATATATATATATATATATATACACATACATATACATGTTAGCATTGGAAACCTTGGCTTTGCCACAAAAGTTATTGATAAATTACGTTATTATATTAATAATGTAACATTGCAGCTGTTGTGTCTTGTGTGTTATTTAAGTATCTCTTTTACTCAATAAAAAGACAACCTTTTTTCTTCAAATACTTCATAAAAACCACAATCAAAATACTTACAAAATGAATATTAATTATAATAAAGTTGTATTTGGATTAATTTTTTAAAAAATACCATATAATATAAAATAGAATTATTTGTTATAAAATCAAATCTTTATTTTTTTAATAAAATATTGATATTATTTTTTCCATATTTTTATATCAAAATTGAATTTTAAATATATTTTTACTTAAAATGGTAATATAATTATATTTTTAAAACAATGTATTTTATATATAGTTTAAAGTATGTATTAAAATAAAAAATAATTTGTTTAAATAAAATAAATCTAAGAATACAAATAATTTAAATTAAAATTATTATAAAAAAATACATAAAATTTCTATATGTGTTTACAAAAAAATAGAGTATAAAAACAAAACCTATAAATGTATGAACAATGCTTAAAAAAAAAACATTCAGAAACAAATATCCTTAAGAGCAATAGCCCTAACTGTGTACTTATTTTTTTTTATAGAGTACTTTTGTTTTCATTGTCTTTAATCATAATCCTACAATAGACCAAGAATAAGACTTATTTGTAGTCATTAGTTTCTTTTTTACAATGATGGCATGTAAGTTCTTCTTATATTGCTTTCAAATTTTTTTAGCTCTTGACAACTTTGAGACATTCATGCACATTCTAAAGCAATTGCCTTAAAAATTGAAGTGACTAACTTGTCAATATAGTAGTGCCAAAGGTAAAATTAACCTCAAATATGGATTAAGAATTATGACTTAGTCCATTTTGTTTGAACAAATTATATACATATATATACATATACACACATATATATATATGTATATATAATTCTATATATATATACTTTCATCCATATATGTAAATTATTTTTTCATGTTGTAAAATTAATAGAAGAGAGGTGAATCCAACCCTACACAAAGAATACAGATTGAAATATAGATGAACTGAATCTTGTCCAGAGACTTATGGCAAAAAAATTGCTGATATTTTCTACTAGCTTGTAATTTTATCTTTTTGTCTTGTATTTCTTATAAATATTAAGATGCTTAATGATGAGATTTTTGTTAGTTGATTTGTGTCCTTGCTATAACAAGGACATAGCAAAATTGCACATTGTAAACAGTTGGGACAATTTTAGAAATTTTGATTGTTGTTTAAGTAAAGATTATAGATTTAAATATCAAGATTGATTGATTTTGAAAATTTGAAAATTCTTCAATCTTTCTCTTCTACTCATTCTTGAGTTGCATTGTTGTAATTTTGGTGTGATTTCTAATAAATATTCTATTGGAATTTGTGTACTTTAAAAATTCATAAAACAATTTATTCATTTTAATCTCATAAAGTAATGCAAATAATAAATATTTACATAAAAAACTCACCAAAATTATTTCTATTTATGTAATTTTTATTTTTACTAAGATTGCTACATCTACTTAACAAGCAAGTGATCATATTATCACAACAAAATACACATATTTATAAGCACAATAGTTTATGGAAGTTAATTTTTATCCATCATTGTTTATATTTTAATTCTGACCAGGACAAAATCAACTTTAATACAAAGGTCTTTTTGATACTATTTTTTATTTATGTAAAACGTATATTTAAATAAAATGTACAGTTGTTTAGCGAGGCAGTATTTTCAATAAAATTGAAACAATTATAATTATTCAATTTTTGATGTTTGAAATCCCACACGTATAACAACAACTATTGCAAATCTTTTCAGGTGCCGCATGCCAACAATTACGTAAATACTGTTGTAACGTTGTGACTGTTGCATCGACTAACTTGTAAATTTTTAACCACGATCAATGAACGTAAATGTTTTGAATGCACATGAAAAGACTTGCTTCACTCTGCATGCACATGCAATTAAGTGAACTACCCACCCACTTGGTTTAAAACAAAAGTATAACAGTTGGAGTGCATACATTTTATATTCTGTTTCTACTATTTTATTCAAAAAGAAGAAGAAAAGTTCCTACATATTAAATAGAGAACTTACATAGGCAAAACGAAACTGATTCAGTCACAGCAGTATATCAAATTTTAACGAACGCATTCTACCACTTAAGTGTTGCTGCTAAATGCCTCAAATCTTTTACTTGCTGTATTGCCCTCAATTTTTCTTGTTGTCGAAGGCGCACAGCCACTGACTGAGCATCAAAGCCTGATACAGGTTGCACTTCTGCTTCAGTTTCTAGCTCCGAAATCAGCTCATCCACTTCTCTTATGAAGTCTATTCGAAGCAAACCCTCATCTTCCTCGGGGATCTCTATCGGCCCCATTTGCTGGATCATAACAATTTCACAATTATACATCATTTCATAGCTTAGTATGTATGTAGAAATTCATGGAAAAGGTAAATTTGACACAGCCGTATAAAATGCAAAGGTCCAATGCAAAAAACGTGCAGTTTACAATAAAGATCAAAAGGACTATGACGACGTGCATGTCAAAGAGAAGAAACTACATCACGAGCTCTCTGACGTTTTCACAGACAAAATGCTGCTCGACAGGTTAAAAAACCCATGAGGCAACAAGGATATAGAGATTCTGAAATAAAAATCGCAAAGAGATTCTCCATGCGAGTCCCACATGAGAATGCCACTGTCAATTTGCATACATTTTCAAAGGTAATAATTTCCATTCTTTTAGAGATTAAAAATATTTTAATTCCTGAGAGGAAGCTTGTTTTGTTTGCTACTACTGTCCTCCACACTTAAGTACAAAGATAAGGAAAAAGGGCTTACATTCTCCATGTCAAAATCGGACGCACCAAGGATGGTGAATGCATCCTCAGGAACGAATACTTGAAGCATGGTCGTCCGAGACCGTCGCAACCACTCTTCGTGACTGAAACCGTCGTGAAGGTTTAAGAGTTGATTGAGCAGTATCATAGCCATGCTCGCGTCCTTTTGAAGCAGTTCCATCTATGGACAAGAAAGAAAACATTAATACATCAAGCTGTCTAGGTCAGCTTAAAAATTAGGGGAATAAGGACTAGAAGGAACACTGTTTTTCAACCAAGACTCAATGCAGAAACCGGCGGAAGCAGAGTAGCGTGAAAAATCCCACTTTTCTAAAAAATACTGCATCGAAGACGTAAAATATGTAACCCCAAGGAGAGCATTTGGGCGACGCAGCGATGATTCTGGTTAGCTTAAACCGGCACAAGAGGGAAAGAATCTTTCTCAAAGTTACACAAAACAAAAAGATGGAGAACCTGATTAACAATGACAAAGGAGCGAAAAAAAGAGGAAAATCAACATGAGGAGTTTCAGCTTATTATTCCAGTGCATTTGAACTAAAATTACAAACCATTATCCATTAGGAGTTGATTGAAGAGCGAGAAATAATATTCAACGTCGTGTGACATCTGCAAGGACGACCAGGATTTACGATTTCGTTAGGGACCATGACTGTACGGTGGTCTTACCTCTACTCGACGGTATAGCAAATCAAGAGCTTGCATTGCGTCTCGTTCATCCTTCAACCCCCCCCCAAGCAGACAAGTGAGCTCATATTTCAGAAATAAAAGCAAGTAATCAAAGAAAACTTCATCAGTTTCTCTCAGTATGGTGTACATTTCAGTGCATTCAAAGTCAGAGATAAAAATCATGTTGGAATGCTAAGGTATTCAACTGTCATCAAAATTCCTCATTCTAGATTACTTTCAAAATGAATCCGATGAATTTCTAAAAATCCAATAAGTACATTTTGGATTTATTTCGAGAATGTACCCCAAATCAAGTTATGGAGCTGACGAGAATAGCAAAGCTCCAGGAACACAGATGACGGAAAGGAAAGACCTTCAAACTGTACATAATATTATAGGAGAATAAACTTACATCATGGCGAGCTAACTCCAAACGATTTCGAATTACTAGAAGTACAAGGGGAGTGAGCTCCCCACTTTCACTTGCTTCCTCAATCATCTGCAATGACGAACTTGTGAGAGTTCTTCAAAGAGTAGCTGAAAGATGTACATGGTATTGAGATGAACTTCTCGAAAACAGTTCCAGTAAAAATAACAGGTACTGAGTAGAAGGAAATAACCAGACACGTTGCACAGAAGACAAGGGATTTGGCACCGACTTCTTCCTCAAATTCCAGGACGTGAATAATTCTAATACCAAGTTCAGAACCTTTGAAGTTCAATACCTCTTCCACTCCTTCTCCTGATTTTATCATCCTAGCAACAAACTTCCTCGCTTCCGCAACTTCCTGTATGGGATAATCTTTGAGTTGATTAGCAATGCTGCGATAGACACCCTCCGCCTTTCTTTCCTCCTCTCGTTCGACCTGCCGCCGCCTCTCCAACTGCCTAGATTCCTCTCTCCGCGCCTCCTGCCATTCCTGCGAACAAAATCAATTGCTGTTATTTATTCGAAAGGGTGGGAGTCGATGAATTTAGCGTACAGCACTATGACAATCGCTGGAAGAAATTAACTAACCTCATCATCTTTATGAACCTCACAAATTTCAACATCTATGACGTCTTGCCGTGTATCGGTCGGCAAGCATAGCAAGCGCCAGCGTTGACGATGGCATGAGGATGACTGAGGTCGATAAGAGGTGGAACCTAACCACATCAATTGATATGAGGAAGAAAAGGAGGTGAGAGATAACCCAAAAAATGAGAGGTAATGCAAACGCAAATTGACAAAAGAAGGATGCGTTCATGACAAGTGGGAGGACGAAAAACTCACAAGAGACGGTAAGGGTGGGGTAAATGGAGGTGGGGGTGCGCGATGTAGAGTAAAGGGAAAGAGAGCAGAAGGAAGAGAGTGCGCAATTGAATAAGCAGGCCATGATAATCCTCTCAAACCGAACTGCAAATTCCTCAAAGTCTATGTAAACCCCTCTAAACCCCTGAAGCAGAAGCTGTGAATTCCACCAACAGAACTCTATCCAAAGATTCCAAACACTCTGACAACAGTTTCCTACAATTCCTCACTGTTTTGCCGCTTGTCGGAGGCTAATGGATGGATGAACTCTTCCCGTTGAGTTGGGTTTCGCGGTTGAGAACAGTGTGAAAGTTTTATCAGTGAGGGTTGGGAGTTTTCGCGCTTGGGTGGTAGCGTTCATGCGCGGGGACGTCTTCTATGATTAGGGTTTTCTCATCCTTTGGTTTGTTGCCGAGAGTGCAGCAAGTCTCGTTTCGATGCTGACCACAGGAGGAGGCGGCACTGCGGTGTTGGAGCCTGTGCAGCCTGTGCAGTCCGTGGAGCCTGTAGAGCCTCAGTCGCTGAAGAAGCTTTCTCTCAAGTCTCTAAAGCGGGCTTTGGATATCTTCGCTCCCGTCCATGGCGACCGCATTTCTGCAGTACCCGAGGGGTACATGTTTCTTACTGATTCGTTGGAGATTTCACTGCTGCTTATTCTAAGAATTTCATTGGTTTTGCACTGATCCCTGGTTGCGATACAGGGTATTTTTTGCAGGCTGGTTGACGGTAGTCGGTGTATTGGTTTAAGAATCAGTTCAGGAAGAAAATTAGGTCACTATGAGGACGCTTGTGGTTCTTTCTTACACGTGGTTTGTCTTCGTTTTGATCCATTGGTGGCTTTATCTGAAGCAGGAGCAAAATTCGCGTCACCTGCAAGGTAAGGCCTGTCCTCCTCACTCTGTTTCGTACTCTTAATCACTGTTCTCGTTACGTTGATCTGATGATGTGGAGAAGTCGTCAGTTCACAAACCCTCGGATCTGTATTGAGATCTCTTGTGCAATGGTTTAGGATTTAGTAGTTGCTAGTATATATGGAGGGTTTCGGGTGCTATTTTTTGATGGGAGTCTACAGAATCGTTCGAATAACTTCAGCACAGATAACATACTGTCATCATCGTACTTCAATGGTCGAAATCATGCAATGTTCATGCCACATTTAATGTTGGTGTTATGGTTCTTCTAATTGTGTTTTAATGTCCGAGGAACAATTCATGCAGGTGAATGACGAGTATGTAGTTGTCAAGGACATGCCGGTGCCTAGCACGAGGGAGGGTGGTGGTGCAAAGCTTGGAGATAATGGCCTTCAAAGCTTGCGAGTCCCTGCGCCAGAACAACCTGGTACAAATGCAGGTATTTTCTATTTTCTGTCTTGTCTCTTTTGTTTTTGTTTTTTACTCGATATGTTATATCATTTCGGTCTTCTCACGGACGAGACTAAAGAATGGAGTGCCATCGTTCTTCAAAGTTGCATCATCTGCTTATCAGTGCGAAGAAGTAGACTTCGATGAATGAAATATGGTAGCCTTATTTATATTAACGGCATTATTCCAACCAATGTGGCGTGGTTTTCAAGTATCGCGGCGTTGGAGTTGTGAATCAAATCGAGGAAGTGCACGTCTTAGTCATAGAAAAATGTGTGTCGACACAGCGTTTAGAATAAGCATGAACGAAACCCTAGATGTATCATTCAAAGACTGAAGCCAGTAACCGGTTCTTGAAGTTCATTCTGTAGCATGTTTTGAGGCTCTTTTCTTTCTTTTTTCTTTTTCTTGCATCTAGGATATGCTAATTATGCTGTTACTGTTCTCAGGATCAGCATCGGGAAAAGTGGGCGGCAAGCAACTTGCGTTGGTGCCTGCTCGAGTCCAACCTCCAGCTGCAGCTCCAATTGTTGGAGCCGCTCCTGCAGTCCCTGCAGTGGATCGCACTTCTACTGCAATTACAGCGGCTGATCGGTATGTGATTTCCACAATACTCAGTTTTCTATAATACTTGTGTTTGCATTACGGACAAGAGTGTGAAAGGGTCTTCGTTGCGTGGTACTCAGACATTTGATCGAAAGCAGTGAAATTTTGAAAGGAATACTGTGATAACTTACATATTTGGTTCAAGCAGGTATCAACCAAGTGCTGCAGTAATGAAGAGGCTCCCAAGTAAATGGCCAAAGCCTGTCTGGCATCCACCTTGGGTAAACTACAGGGTAAGTATTTCAGTCATGAGCTTGTATATTCCTTAACAGTGAGGAGATTTCAATATTCTGGATGTTACTTTGTGGTGATCAATGGGCTTTTATTGCTGAGTTTTTGTGACTAAATCTTGTGGAGCATTGCAGGTCATCAGTGGGCATTTAGGGTGGGTGCGATCAATAGCATTTGATCCTGGAAACGAGTGGTTTTGTACTGGCTCAGCTGATAGAACCATCAAGGTGTGATGAATTAGTTGACCTGCCAGTAAATTGTTTTCTTGCATGCCCTAAGATGCTTCAAAGTTTTGGTCATTTCATGCGATGTTCTGAGGTAGTTGGATATAGTATGGTTTCCTTTACTGCGTTTCGCTTTGATTCGTCCATAGGCAAGAGCCAACTCTTTGCTTTGTTGTCGTCGTCGTCGTTGTTAAAATTAAAAGATGATTTTTTACCAAAGCTTGGTTGCTGAGAGTATAGGACGTTGTTTTGATTCCCTATAGATTTGGGACAGTGGAACTGGACAGCTCAAGCTGACTTTAACTGGTCACATTGAGCAAGTTCGAGGTACGTCAAGTCATTAGGTCAATTGCGCTCGCTTTTGAATCGACGATGAAATCCCATTTAATGGTACATGCTTATTTCTTCACTCTTTTCTGATCCAGATGCAGAGGTTAAAGGTACATGAGTGGATGTTGAACAGGTCTCGCAGTGAGTGCTCGACATCCTTACATGTTTTCAGCTGGTGATGATAAGCAAGTCAAATGCTGGGATCTTGAGTACAACAAGGTGTGTTCTGGCTCCTTTTAAGCATATTAATGCGTAGCCTTTACTTGGCTCTGAGTCAGAGGTCATTTCAAATGTCATTTTCTGAGACTCTACTCTGGGATATGGGTTTGCTCAGGTTATACGTTCATATCATGGACACTTGAGTGGAGTTTACTGTTTAGCGCTTCATCCTACACTTGATATTCTTATGACTGGTGGTCGAGACTCAGTGTGTCGGGTAAGAACCTCATTCTTCCGTCTTTTAACGATGCATTATTTTATATCCTTATGCTGTGATTTTTATAGATTAGAGTTTTGAAGTTCTCAGCAGCCAATATTTAATTGCACAGGTATGGGATATGAGAACCAAGGCTCAGGTGTTTGCGCTATCAGGACATGAGAATACGGTCTGTTCTGTGATTACACAGGCCACTGTAAGTCCCCTAATTAGCCTCTTTTATTCTTTCATGGACAAATTCCTTAGACTCGTCACACCCACTGTCTCCATGATTTGGTTTGTGAAATAATTTTCAGTCCTTTAGAATGAGTACGTCGAAGTTCTCTCTGTCTCGTTGAGTCAAATTGATAGTGTGTGTAGGTCCGTGCCTCGACAGTGCACTGTCGCACTTTATGTCAGTTCGTGGTTGTGAGCAATTTTTTGCCTATGAATTTGATGTGAATAGGGGCATTTTTGTACACGTGAAGAAAGAGTTCTCATTGTATGATCAGATGTTACACCTCTAAATGCTTGTACTTCTGCACAGACCTCTAACTTGTTGCACTCGTTTATTGACCTTAAAATCTCAGGACCCACAAGTTGTAACAGGATCACATGATACCACAATCAAGCTGTGGGATCTTGCTGCGGGTATGTAATCAATCCCTTCCTGATGTATCTAAGCCCGTTTGAAGTTAGTAGAATTAGTTTTCATCTGCTATGCTACCAGTGTTGGAGCTTAAGTTTTCCACTTAGCAAAGATTAAAAGTTACTGAAATGAGTCTTTGTTAAGCACCTTATTTTTTTCATGTTATCGTGCAATTTACACAGGTAAAACTATGTCGACTTTAACATTTCACAAGAAGTCTGTGAGAGCATTGGCGATGCATCCTTTTGAGTAAGTTTCACTTCTTTATTTACGGTGATGATTAGTCCTTCTTTTTTACCGTGTTATGTTTCTGAAGTGATCGGTGTCCGATTTTACGTCTAATTAGACCAAATGTTGTACCCATTTGTTGTTTAACAATGGTCAACTTTTCTTGTTATATGTTCAGTACGATTGGTTTACTAAGTTCTTTTTGCGAGTGTTTGAGTGAGTGGATATTATTGCATGAGAGTTGATGGGCTTTAAGTGGGGCGTAAAGTTATTTTGCCTTACTATGTTATTCATTTTTGCTTGAACAGACACACCTTCACCTCAGCTTCAGCAGACAACATAAAGAAGTTTCGGCTGCCCAAGGGAGAGTTTTTACATAACATGCTGTAAGTGTTCTTTGCGAAACTTAATCAGGTGCTATGTTCATATTGTCTGCATTCATCTTTTGGAGTATCATCCTTGATGTGCCTTATCCATTCAATAGTTTTCTAAGTCAGCTACAACTCCTGTTCGTGACGGTTGTCGCAGTAAGTTTTTCGGTTCAAACTGTTGACGTGGTCAGTCTGTTTATATGGTACTTATCTACACATTTATAAATATGTTGAACTTTTTTTGAGGCTTATGGAGTGCTCTGGTTTTGCATCCTTCAAACACAGATCTCAGCAGCGCACAATCGTTAATTGCATGTCTATCAACGAGGACAATGTTATGGTGTCAGCAGGTTTGCACGACAGTTCTATTTTTAGATTTCTTTTTCTCAATCCAAAATTACATTCCCAACATAATCGCCATCTATTTCGGATTATACTTCAAATAGAGGTTTCCTAATGTTGAAAACTGACGTGCAGGTGATAATGGAAGTATGTGGTTTTGGGACTACAAGAGTGGGCACAATTTTCAGCAAGCGCAGACAATTGTGCAGCCTGGTATGCTACCATTTTCCTTTGATATATATATATATATATACATATACATATACATGCTTTCCGTGCGAGGAGACTTTTGGAATTGCCCCACATCTGAATATTATGGCTTTTGGAATTATTTCTTTTGCTGTATAAGGAGACGACGGATGACATAATGTGATGATACACTGTCGTACACGACCTTGATTTATCATGCATGTGCTACTATTTTCTTTTTATCGTGGTAACAGCACATTGACTAATGAACTTTATGCACTGCAATGGTTTTGTAGGGTCTTTGGATAGCGAGGCTGGAATCTATGCTCTTTCATTTGATCAGACAGGCTCTCGGTTGATCACCTGTGAAGCGGATAAGACCATCAAATTTTGGAAGGAAGATGAGTCAGCCACCCCAGAAACACACCCTATCCACTTTAGACCGCCGAAGGAAATGCGTCGGTTCTGATAGTGCTTCACGAAACTTCCTTGTGAGAATCAGGGGGTATTCGTGCGTGGTTATCTATTGTTTAATTGGTCACTGATCAATTTTGTGAGGAGGTTGGGACATTTTCCTCTCATTTTGTTTTATCCAAATGCTTGTGGCATTGTGTACATTAGAAATATTTTCACACAAGCTTGGTTTACACTCCACTGCCGATGTAGTTGAAATCATTTCACCATGAGCAAGCAATTCATGTCATGCACATCTGTTCATTCAATCAACAACCATGTAAGATTAGTTCCTCCTGCAACTTCTTGAAACTCAGTTAACATTCAACAGTAAACCAGATGTAGATTGGCTTGAGTGAAATATCCTTTAAGTTTATTTTCCATCATTGCTAACCCTGATGCAATGAACTCGTGCTGGTCTAGAGTTGTGTCTTCTCTTACCAGAAGTCAATGTCCATCCACACAACACAGGCTCTCCAGATCTCTTCTTCACCTGAAAAATGAGGCTGCCCCCTTACCTCAACCAGCCCTTCACCCAACCTCTATCCATGAAAACTCTCAGGTGGCGCAATCTCTTAAATTCGTTTTTTTATACAAGCTCTAGTTATAGCCCATAACTATCAGCTGAAAGCCAATGATTGATTCAATTAGCTTGGCTATACCATACAATATGTGATACTTGAAGTATGTAAGTCAAAGAATTTTGATACTACATACTTCAAATATTTTTTTCAATATAAGTCATACAAATAAATGTAAAATTTTTATGTGCACTGCTCTTTATTGTGTGGAGCTACTGCTTTTGTCTACTAAAACAATACTTTGCAAGTTATCTACACAATCCAAGCAACAAAAACAAACTTTGGACAAAAATGTAAGTCTGAAAATCAAACGAGGATAGAAATTTAATTATAATGGTAAAAACAAAGTCACAAGAGTAATTTGGCCACAAGAGTAATAAATGACTGAAGTAAACAAGGTTGTGAAAAGTGAAAGGAACTAAATTTATACAAAAATCAATTCATACACTATGATTAGTATTCCTCTCTCAATTTGTACAAACAAATGCAGAATATGCAATGGACCAACATGCAAGGATAAGAATCAACATGAGAATTGCACATTGGGTTTGGAGGGTGAACCCAACACTACATCATATCCTCCTTCACCAGCAGGATCCCACATGTCATTCATGCGTCACCAGGACCCTCATCTTGCCAATTTTATCAGAACAAGAGTGAAGTGGAAGGAGACAAATAAATAAACAAATAATAGAAATATAAAAGTTAATACACACATGTGAGTGTGTAATTGAATATGTGGTTACATATATATATATATATATCTACACACACACACAATTAAATAAGATATATATATACAAGTGAGGAAGGTCACCCTTTCCATCTGTTATAGAAATGGAAAGAAATAATTAGTACTAATAGAATTTCAATATCCTGTTCACGTTGATGGAGAGGTTTAAGATGATATAGTGATTATGTTTATGATTATTATTCATACCCTGATTGGAAATTGCAAACGCCAATTAATGGGCTCCGGTGAAGTATTAATCATCAAAAGCGCAGTCGATTACACACAGATAGACTCTCACACACACAGTAAATCTTCATTTAGACTGGTGGTTGACGGTATCGGTGATGGCTTCCTGGCTCACTCCGTATGACGCCTTCCAGCAATCGACTTGAAGCGGGTGGGTTTCGGGGGCCCAAGTCTATCTCTCACTAGAGTCGCGGCCAACACCCATGCTAGTCCAGTCCACAACACTAAAAAGCACCGTTCTTATGGCAGCATTCAAATGCATCCCCCCCCCCCTCGATTCGATTTTCTCATCATTGACTGTGGTTGGCTGCACCTCTGAAGCCGCGCCTCGCCTCGCCTCGCGTCTGATGATTGATTGAGGTTTGCTGTGCTTGTCAGACCTTGTTAGAGATAGTAATTAAGGGTGATTATTCGTTGTTTGTGAGCTTTTCGCGTGTGCGATCCAGGGGTTAGGATTCAGGAAGCTGGAGACGACGCGGGGCGGTGGGCGCTGTAGCTCTGAGAGGCTCCAGGTTTGACTTCTTGTGGGATTATGAATTAATAACATAATTTTTGGATATGGGGTGGTGCTGATGGTGGTGGGAGTTCTTTTTTTTTTTTTTTTTTTCTTTTTTTTCCTTCTTCTCTCTCTCTCTCTGGTTACCCTAATTGGAGAGTGGAAGGATTTTGAGACAATGACATGTTTTTTGGGTTTGGAGAGATGGGGATGGTGAGATGAGTTTCGTGGATCTCGATGTGTGGAGTTAGGGCGAGGGTTGGCACTCGGTATCGACCAAGAGAGAGATTCACGGACAGGGAGAGGGCGAGATGAGATCGTGTAATGATAGAGTAGCAATTCGAATTGTTGCTAATTAGCTTTAACCCGCGAGTGAGTGTGGAAGCGGTGTTGATTCAGGGCTGGGTAATTTTTGTTAGTTTTTGCTACGAGGATGTTGACGATGAGAGTCTAGGTAGATGGTTCTAGTCCACGCGGTTCGCGTGAGTGTATGGTTGATTTCATAGGTTTGGAATATAGCCCCTTGTGCATGCTATAGGGTTTCATTTATTTTTTTGATATTACAGGGGCGCTTGATTGTAGCCTTGCAGAAGGGAATTGAAAGGAGCTTTGATATTAGTGGAATTAAAGGTGAGTGAGGATAGGGTGTTGGCAATTCGATTGCGCATAGGGATTGTTGAGCACTACAAGAGGGGCGTGTTTGAGGATCGATGGTCCTCTCTTAGGCTTTCGAAAGTGCTGTATAGTATTTTTTTGATTGAATTTTTCCTTCTTGTCGATTGCCCGAATTTCGACGATTATTTTTTACGACGATGAGGGTTCCTGTCCATCTTGTTCTTAGTAGAGGCTATTACATGGAGAGCAATTCGATATTCGATGTTAAGGTATTCTGGTCTTGTGTGAGAGAATTCATTGCCTTTCGTTGCTGTGTGTAGGGTAAAGTAATAATGCTTTTTAGTAGCCGTTTTATTGGATGACCTCTTCGCCCAAGGGATGGCGTCAACGGCAATGGCAGGGGCTGCAGGGGCAGTTGTAGTCCTTTATTACACAGGTTGGGGTAATCCCTGGGGTGGACAACATCGCGATTCAAACGATGGGGGAGAGTCGGTGTCATTGTTGAGTGGAAGCCAGAGACGGTTGAGTGTGACATCAAGACCGCCCTCAACTTGGTTTGAAGCTCTCGCTACTATCGCAGAGACCCTGCGATTTACGTACTCTGAAACTCTTGGGAAGTGGCCCATCGGTGATCTGGCTTTTGGAATCAACTATCTTCTACGTCAACAGGTGCGTGGTTGTCCTGTTCGAACATGACTTGTGTCATCGCATTCTGACTGCAGAGCTCAATTAGGACACTTGTTGGTGTTGAAATTGCCACTTCTTAATAACTTCTCACAGTTTTTATCTGCTTGTTGGTTGGGGGATCAATAGGACAAAGATTTCAGACACTTGGAACTGGTGGCGAGATTGTAAGGCTTGCTCTTAAGAACTTAGGGCTGGTGTTATGTGTACAGGGCCAGTTAAATGTTGCCAGTGTGTTCGCTGCGGATGAGAATCAGCAGCTGCGTGGCCCTGCTGTGGTGGGAGAGATGAAGGAGTTGCTGAGACTCCTGACTGTATGCATGCACTTTTCAAAGAAGACTTTTCCTCATTTTCTTGAGGTTACGGGTTTTACGAGGGATCAAGTTTTGCTTGAAGAAGGGAGGGCTGGGGTAAGATATGCAGGGCATTTGATGGTTGTTTTGTAGCATCACTTCCGAGCAAGTATGTTCCTGGTGATCGCCTGATAATTTCTTATCGTATTCACTGTATTGAGTGAAATTTCTGAATGTGCAGTTACTGAAACCAGCATTCACGGTGTTAGTGGACCATCAGTCCGAATCCATACTGCTTCTGATTCGAGGAACGCACAGTATGAAAGACACTCTGACAGCGGTCACAGGTTCTGTGGTGCCTTTCCATCACACTGTAATGGATGATGCCGGTATCAGTAATTTGGTATTGGGTTATGCTCACTGTGGAATGGTAGCAGCTGCACGATGGATTGCTCAACTCTCCACAAATATTCTTATGAAAGCTCGCGACGATTACCCTACTTATCAGATTAAGGTTCCTTAACTATTTCCTAATCTCATTTATGTTGTGAATCTACGAAAATCTGTTTTGGTGTAGTAAATGAGATCAGTATGAATTGTGGTATTATTGTGAACTTAAGGACTATGAGGATTTCTCCAATTTTTCTTCTTAAGTGACATTTTTACACGTTCTTTGGCTTTGTAGGTTGTGGGACATTCTCTGGGCGGTGGAACTGCTGCGTTGCTTACATACATTCTTAGGGAGCGTCAACCTCTTGGCTCAACTAAGTGTGTCTCTTTTGCACCCGGTATGGTGTTATTGGTATGGTGTTATTGTATGCAGTCACCGTCGTTTATATTTTATGTTTATTTGGATTACAAGCTCTACAACTTCTACGAGGTCGCTGAAAATGTTGTACAAGTATTTGAGCATTCAAGTTACATCCTGGCGGGAAATTGTTGCTAACTAGGATGTCTTTGTGATTACAGCAGCATGCATGACCTGGGAATTGGCCGAGTCAGGTGCCTCTTTTGTGACCACAGTTATCAATGGTTCAGATCTGGTCCCGACCTTCTGCTCTGCCTCTCTTGATGATCTTCGCGCCGAGGTTTGCACGTCTTTCTTACTTTAATGATCCAGACTGAAAGCTATAACACGGCTCAAACAAGTATCTAATTACGCTACAGAAACTAACCATGTATATCTATGAATGCAGGTGACAGCTTCTGCTTGGGCGAATGACTTTCGCGAACAGATAGAAAGAACACGGATATTAAGAACTGTCTATCGATCCGTCACTGCGTTGAGCAGCCGGATACAGTCTTTGGCCAAACTTTCGCGAGCTACGTTACCATACTCGACCCTCATGTTTAGTCGAGCTGCCCGAACCGGAGCAGCTGGTGCCAGCATGATTTGGCGACCTGTCTCCAGTGGTACTCAGGTAATTCTGCCCTGCCCGGTTTCTGTGTTGGTGGTTTTATTGTTTTCTTCTGCCAATTTTTTAGAACATGACATTTATATGGAATTTGTGTTAAAGTGCTGCATTGATGTATGCACCAACTGTATCCTGGTTGGAGTTTCGATTTTAGACTAAGACATTCGAGGTTCGTGTTGGGTGTGAACATAGGTTGTAATGAAGCAGGCTCAGAATGTAGCCCAAGCTGTGGTCCGTAGACCCGACTTTTCAAGTTGGTCCTGCATGGGTCCTCGCCGTCGAAATGTTGTATCCACTGGCAATGCAGGGTTGGAGGAAAATACTGCTTCAGTCGTCGTCAGTGACAAAGAGAAAGTGGATTACTGTAGAGATATTGCAAACGTATGTAGTACCAGTGCTGCGGGCATCAGCACTGCTGATGATGGCCAAGGTCAACAATCAGCAGGTACATATTGGGCTATGCTTTTGATTTTGAGTTTTGAATTTTCGTTAGAAATGAAATAAAATATATGTTTCTTGTCATGCTCACTTTGCATCTTCCTGGTTTCGGTTGTTATTGCTTATTAATGCTTGATCATTTTTCTCAAGATATTATAAATACGTCCTTGATGCAAATACAATGAGTACTATTGCTGCTACAATAGGAAAAATGTGCCGACACTAAAATATGTTTCCTTACTATGCTCATTTGACCTCGCAGGTGAATATTCGGAGTCTTACAGGCAAATGTTGCGTGATGGAAACGACACTCGGAAAGAGTTTTTCTCAGGCCTCATACAAGAGGGTGATCTGGAGCAAGATCTTGAGCATGATCACATGGCTTCTGCTAGTGGTTTAGAAGACCTTGGTGAGGACCTTCTGTGGCAACAGTTGGCCCAGGAGCTACATCGCCAGCAGGAGAGACAAGCTTCTTCTTCCCCAAGTGAAGAAGAGGCCGCAGCAGCTCGTGAGATCACAGAAGAGGAGGAGCATGTTGTGTCGACCACTGCCTCTGCGTTGGGCCAGGTAAACATATTTATCCGTTTTTGATTAGCATAACCTATTGATATGATGTAGAAGTTTTGTTTTTGAGAGATCAAGTCTAAGCTCTTACGAATATTTTTTATTTTTATTTTATTGTAGTACTTTTATAAAAAAGAAGTATTTATCAATAACCGCTAAATCTCTTACCTATGAAGTGGCACTCTTTTAGAAATTCTATCTAGCCTATATTTTCCTCGGAGGCCTGCTTTAGCTTCTGCCACTCTTTTTGCAGGATCGTATTGTGTCAGAGAAGGAGCCGGAGCAAGACCTACGGCGATTTTACCCTCCAGGAAAACTCATGCACCTGGTTAGTCCCCTTCCAAGCAAGGGAGAGGAACCTGGAAGTGAAGACCAAGAGCAACAACCAAGGGTTGGACTATTTCTTACTGATCGAGCTTTATATGGCAAAGTCCGGTTGTCAAGGACTATGGTGCATGACCATTACATGCCAAATTACGGAGTCATGATGACAAGTTTGATTGAACAGTTAGAAAGGGAAATTAACCCTTGAACGCTCAGGTTGACTGCTTGGATCACTTTTGTACTGGCTTCCCTCGGTCGTTCAAGGGTTAATTACTCGAGTTGATAAAATGGTCACAATTGCTTAAGTTTTGTAACATAGTGCTTGATTCACAAAGGTGTTTTTGCACATGCTCCTAACCAACCATGCTGCAATCCTATATATATATATATATATTCCCAATTCAAAGTAGAGAGCAATCTTGAGGTACTTTGAAGGTACTCCTTGACAGTGTTAGAATAACCCCTTTTGACCTTACAATCTTTAAAACGTATCTATATGTGTCTAGTTTCCAAGGAACCCTGTAGCTGGTATTGACTCATTACTTTATTCTGTACTCTTACCCGAAGGGCTTGGGTTACTTAAATGTGCAGATCCTTTCTGATTATTAGCAAGTGGTTGCTCCATGAGAACTAAATCACGATGTGCATTATGTCGCCAGTTTAGTGAGTGGGTATTGTTATTCCTTGGGTTTTTTATCAAATTCGAGAGCCGATGGATTCTGAGTAATTCAATCTCGTGTCATTGTTGGATCTGACATCGGTAGTATCGTCATTTCCAGGGTGGGTTTCGATTATATTCCTCCTCTGGAAATTTTAGTGAGTCTCCACATCATCTGTTGTTCATAGAGCTTCCATTTGCTAGAATATCATCAATAAAATGTCCATTACAATGGCTTATTTATTTATCTTATTACTTTGGTCTAATGGCAAGGTTTTTTAATATACAATGTTTTAGATCCTACTCTCAAATTCAAACACTTATTATTTTTGTCAAGGATGCCATCTGTTTTAACCACTGTGTCAAAATCTCCCTTTAATGTAATTGTCATAATTTAAAAACTCAAAATATATGTCACAACTCCAGAGGTTACCTTTTTTTTAGAATCCTTGTTTTATTTACTGATGTCCATATATATGTGTATATATATATATATATATATATATATATATCTTTTCTCTTATTTTTGAAGAAAATTTAAGTCATATCATGACTTTGATAGTTGTTACAGGTATGGAAATACAGGAGAATGTACGTATATACCGAGTACCTTCGACAGGTGTCATGATCTCATGAACCCTGGAGACGATTTCTCACCATCCCTTAAGATGTTTATGGTCGACGTCCATTTTCAAACAGCAGCTAATATCCCGCCTTGTTCTCGCTCTCGCGCCATTGCCTTCAAGTGACAGTGCACTTGGTTCCCCTGTTTCTGGCATCCAAGTACTTACTTGTTTTTATAGTGCACATATTAATTGTTCGCTTTCCGAGGCGTTGTGGCGTCCTCGATAATTCACGGGATCTAAAGAAAGTTTGCCCTTCTAGAGCAGGTGATTTATGTTTTGCGTATTTTGGATCGTCAACAGTTATTGGTGCATTGAAACTTGGGGATGTATTTCTACTTTTTCATTCAAGTTTCTTCTACTGCACAAGTGAAGTGTTTTTGTTCCGCCTGATATCGAGGTATGAGTTCTGTATGATATCAAGTATGAGTTCTGTACGTGCGGGCAGCTTTTGTCATTTTCAATAGACACTAATTTTGTTAATTTATTCAGCTTGCGGCCAGCTTTAGTCAAGTTTTTGCAATCGAGAGTAAGCTGTGAGGCAGGGAAATCAATGGAACGTGCTAAAGCAAGTCGCTACCTCGTGACTCTTTTCCTCTCGCTCATCCAAGTTGCAACGGCACAAACAACCAATTCGCCACTTGCTTCCGCTCTCTATGTCTTTGGAGACAACTCGGTTGATGTTGGCAACAACAACTACCTCAATACTCTTTTCAAGAGTAACCACAAGCCTTATGGCAGAGACTGGCATGGATACAGCCGACCTACAGGCCGTTTTTCAAATGGAAAACTGTTTGTGGATTACCTTGGTAAACAAGTCAAGCTCCTCCTCTCGATCATAACAACATGATTCTTCTTTTCAGCATATTCATAGATGTGATCCATGTCAGTTTGAATACCTCGAAAAGAAATTGTGCGTCTTCTCACCTGAGCTGGAGTCTGAGGTGTTCTGCCCGTAAGAGGCAATGTTGTTGGTGGCTAGCGGCTCACATTTTGGAAATTTGGAAATCCTTTTTCACTTGGAAAACAATTCACTGTGTTAGTACAATTACACGTACAAATGCATTTCCACAACGGTAATGAACCATGATTCACTCTCTAATTTAGTCATCGCCCGGTGAGCCCTGCCAGCTACGATTATCTTCTGCTTCTCTTTGCCGACTTTTTTTTGTACTTTTTAAGACCGTGGTAGAGTTATTGCAGTCATCAAGCTTACATTGCAGTATACACGAGAGAAACTTGCATTCATCGAACTGATCAATCTCTGGAGTTATGTCGAATTTGTTGCCGTACTCCTGCAAGGCAATAATCTATGCAGAATTTTTCGGGAATTGTTGTGTAGCGGAGTATCTAGGTCTGCCGTATCCACCACCAAACTTAAGTCCTGGGGAGCCAAAGATTAAGGGAGTCAACTTTGCATCTGCAGGCTCGGGGGTTCTAAACTCGACTGCGTCCATTCTGGTATAATCCTTATCAGAATTGACTGATTACTACAAAATTTGCAGAGCATTGCAACGTTAGACACATTGGCTTTGAGACTTGGTTGTTTTACAACGTTTTGATAGTTTCTTTTCGACTTCACAGAAGTGGTAAATTTGAAAAATAACATCCAATACGTTGTAATGTATTCCGGTCATCATGTATGAAAGTAAGTGACCAAGACTTTAGGACCAAATGAATACTTTGGTTCTTCTCAACAAGAGATTCAACCCCGATGTTCTCGTGACGACTATGTGATAAAATCCTAGTAAGCTTCACTCCGTCCTGTACCTTGCAGCGTGTTGCTTCTCTTTCTGGACAGCTCGACTGGTTCCGGAAGCATCTGAAAACTTTACGAGCCTGGACGGGCGAAGTTTGGGCGAATCATATCATCGGAGATGCTGTGTATGTAATAAGCACAGGCAGTAATGACTACAGTAACAACTATCTGCTGGATCCATCGCAGCACGACAACGTCGATGAGGACACATTTGTCGAACTTATCTACAACGAGATGGTGTCCTTCGTACACGTACATATTCCTAGACCTTTCAATTTTATTTGAAGATTGAAGTAGAACGTCGAGGATGGTGATATTAAGTCTCTGAACGGTTGAAGAATCGTAAGCAGGAGAAATGACTTAGAGAGATTAGATCTGTTGATCGACCGGTTTGTTGCACAGGAATTGCTGGCAGTTGGAGCTCGTAAGATCATGGTGGTGTCATTCACACCGTCGCACTGTGATCCCTCCCAATTGTTAACACAGCTGCCTGATCCGAGCACTGATTTGTTTTGCCAAGACCCGTACAACATGCTTCCCCGCAGGTTTAGCGAAGCGTTGAGATACCGCATACAGTCATCTCTCACTAACGGCATGTTGCCCAGGAGGTCATCTCTTAGTGGAGCGCCCACTTACGTTGTCTATGGCAACATTTATGACACCATTTTTGCATTTGTGACCAACAGTTCAAGTAATGGTAAGTAATCACTTACTTCATCACTTTCTTGGATGCCATAATGTTCGAAATTTCTCCTTTCAATTGCACACTAGCTGTTTAATGGAATCATGATTCCTTGGAGCTTGAATATTACTTCAATATTATACACTCGTTCTTCAATTAATGGTACCGGCAATGTAAATTTCAACACCACGTGCATGCTGAACCACAAATTTGGGCGTTTTGCAGCATATTTCAAGAGGCAAGATTCTCCATGTTGTGGTCCAACGTCGGAAGAGGATGATGACTTTCCAGGATTTTTAAATTGTAATGAGTTTACAGCAACTGCCTGCTCCAATGCAGATGACTACGTCTACTGGGACAGCTTGCATTACACTCAAAGAGTGCAGGAGTATCTCGCCAATCGACTCTGGAACGGTACTTTCGGTGTAGATTGTCATCCGTTTTGCCTCCAGGAGCTTGCAGCATTACCTTAGTTGTCACATTTGTTGCGGAAATCCGAGCAACACAATCAATAGGAAAATTTCACTAGTGGTAATACCTTGAAATAATTCATATAGCTGTTCATTTTGGGCAGGAATTGTGTTATGATTGTCTGTTTAGTTTGCTCCTCGGATACTGCCGACAGGTTTCAGGGATACTTCTGAGACAAAACGTTCACAAAGAAATGGTCGTCTTTCTTTGTCCTTTCAGTACACCTAAACACGTCATGCCACAACAGCCAGGCATTCAGAACATAGGTTTCGGAGCGGTATCTACTCATTTCTGTGTTTGTTGCTTTGTTCAGTGACGACATCATTCGCAACCACCACACCAAAACTGTTCCCAGTCGGATGTTTGAATTCCTTGATCTGCTGTGAATGGGTGCCTGTAGAGCATTCCACAGGGAAATTTTGTGTAGCTAGCTGTCTGCAGGCATACAAGAATTAGCAGTATAGTGACCCCGCGGTTTTCAACGTAGTCATTATTCATTAAGCTTATTCTATATTTTAAGAAAAAGCCACGACGTTGAAATCAAATCACTCACATAAATGGTGCACACACTCACCAAAAAAGGAAAAAAGATCGGCATTTAGAAGAAAATACAAATCTTACTTTAAAAAAATAAACAGTGGTTTATAGAAGTACTAATTTATTTCATGGTTATTTAAGTAACTTTTCAAAGGCTTCTTGTTCATGCTTAAGTGCGTTTTCATAATGCAGAACTATTTGGAAGTTCATTTCTACAAATAAAATTATCTATCCAAGAATTTCTAATTTTTTTTTACATCAGATAACATGAAATTAAAAAAATATAGTGTAAATTAAATAAATTTTAGATGATACTTATCTTTTGATACTATCATGGTTAATAATACATGTTCATAACATTAGTGCTCTAATTATCAATTTTAAAATAATATTAAGTTTGTTTTGATTTGCATTCTTCAGAAGATTGTTTGCATTTATGCATTTTTTTGTGTATATGATTGGAGTTTGGTTGCTATATCTTTGTAATGTTTATTTGTTTATATAACAATCAATATGTAGAAGGAAGGATAAAAAGAATAATTAATGATTGACTAATTAGAAATGCTTTTGCAAATAGAAATATAACTAAATAAATAAATGAACTTTAACCTATGTTTTGTTTCACAATTTTTTTTTTCCTTAAATTATAACTATCTTACTTTATGAAAATTTCCGAGAATCTTTATATATTCATAAAATATTAAGATTTATTTTGATATAATTGATATCTACTTATATATTTTTTTGATAAATATATATTGATTTATAAGATAAAAAATCAACTTATTTTTAAAATAAGTAATTTTTCAATATGTTCAAATAAATAACAAGACAAAAAATTATTAAGTATTAGTAGATACTTCAAAATAAAAAATATACCATATATAAAAAATATAGTTTTTAATTATTCTTAATTGATTGTTGACAATGAGCATTCAATCATAAAGAAGGATATGTCCAACTATAATACTACACCAAATTTCAATTAGATAACTATTAAAAGGCAATTAAATAATTAGATAATTAATCCATTGGCTATTGGTTCTTTGCAACACCTACTATGCCATAGGCATAAGAGTTGTTTTACAGCCTTATTGCAATATAAACGAGATGCTGGTCATTATTAGACCAATTTTGACATGATAGAATCAAGTATAGATGCATGAAGATACATGCCAACTTCAATGCATGATTTCCAATTTTTGTTCCAATATTAAATATTGTTTAAGCTACAAAAAATAAAGTAGCACCTTTAATTTGAAGAAAAAAGTATTAGAATTTAATAAAGATAGTGATATTAAATTCTAAGTTCTATTAAAGATAATAATCATCTTAGTTATCTTGTATGTATTGTGAAGAAGAAGATGCTTCTGGAAGAGATGTGCTCTCTTGATAAGGTGCAACTTTATGTAGAGGATGAAATCTATTTATTTTCTTTACATTTTTTAAGTAGATTATAGTGTAGGTTAGATTTTCCTTTAAGTACACCAATCAATAGAAGATAAGGGGCAAGTTTTGGACCTAATAAAGATTTTATAAATAAATTGGCTTGCATATCATTAATAGGATAGTAGTCAAATTTGATTTTTTTTAAAGTTGTAAGTTGCCAAATAAAGTGATAGCAAATAGTAATATACTTAATATAGGAGTAGAAGTTTTTTGTATCCACAAGTGCAAGAGCAGATTGATTATTGAAATAAATGACAATAGAAGTCTTTAAAAGTCCAACTTGCCAAAGATTATAGAGAAGATGGTACAACTATATGGTTTTGGAAGCGAAAAAAATCATTGATATATATATTTTGCTTTCATGTTGGACAAAATAGTGGATTTTTGCCTTGTTTATCACCAACTAATAACTTAGTAAGAAAGGAAAAAAACATATCCAAAGATTGAATAGTGCTTGTCAACCTCGTGAGTCCAATTGACATTATTAATACCAAAGAAATGATGAAGAAGTTGTAAGGATCATTAGATATCGAAAGTTTAGGTAAGGATGCTGTAGATATAGCAAAACAAATATTTACATACTTGGACATGTTTCTCTCTTAGGCTATACATGTATTGTGGTAATATTCTTATGACAAATACAATGTCTAATTGAGTACATATGCTAGAATAATTGAGGCTTTCAATGTTATTTGCATGTAAAAATGTGAAAGAGGTAGAAGTAAAAATTTGAGTCAAGGAAAAATTCATGATAGATAGTTTGAAGCCATATGCAAGTAAAGTTAAAACAAGATGTGAGTTGAAGAAGCTAAAGTCCACCAACCTTATAAAATTTGAAACCAACCTTATTGCATACTTTGAGTGATCTTAAGGCTTAGGATGTGATAGACCTTGCTAATGTTTGATAACATAAATCTTGACTAAATTGAATTTTTATCAATTAAAGAAGGATCAAGTTACTAATTACAATCATGTTATCATCTTATCAAGGACATGAACTCCAAAGAAAGATAATCTCAATACACTCTTGTGTCACTCAAAAATACTTAGAAATCACTCAAAGGTGATAATATATTGAACTAGAATGGCTATTGCCAAAGACTAGAAAACATGACGACTCTTGAAATTAGACTGGAAATAAGAAAAGAGTTCACAAGAGTGAAGCAGGCTTCACTCTTGTCTCTATATATACTATCTAATTAGGAGCTATGTGGTGACGTTCTAAAGGACCTCCAATATAAATTGACTTTGTAGGACACTTGCCTTGACTTACAAGACAAGTTTTTTTACATGTGGGCCACATAGTTAGCTTGGTCTTCAAGCTAACAATATGTGTGGCACATGGCCAACTTTTTGACCACGTTTTTAATCCAAAAAGTCAATTAAAGACACCTATGAAGTCAAAATAGTATCTATGAAGCTTCTAGGAAGCTTCTATACCAAATACTATAGAATTAACTTACTTTTATCTACTTTTACTTACTTCTACTTATTTATATATGTAATTACTAGCTTACATGAGTATGTCCGTGATACATCCACATATAAAGTAAGAATTACAAAGTTAGAGCTACTACCAAGGTAGTATAAATTTCAATTGAAGATAGAATTTATGAATCAAAATATAGTGAAGAATGCATCAATCACGTGGAACCATTCTCATAGAAATTGCTTAAGACCATAGAACATTTTTTCAAGACAATACTTAAGATTGAAATGTAGTGGTTTGACACCTTTGATGACATCTATGTAGATCTCTACTTAAAAGAATATATGAAAAAAAACCATTTTTATATCCATTTGATAGACATGAAGATTATATTGAAGGATGAGAACTAGAGTGAGGCAGATGGATTGAATGCATATCAATAGAAAGAAGATATCAATGTAGTCAAGTCCATAAATTCTGTTGAAACTACAAGCTACAAGATGTTCTTTAAACCTATAAACTTTGTAAGTGCTTTTGAATTTTATTTTAAACATCCATCTTCATGTAATTAAATGGTAATAAGCAAGTAAATTAGGAAATATTCAATTGCTATTAGCAATATGAAAATTCAACTCATTAGCAATGGCTTATTGTTATTGAGTGGTATTAGGAGATATCAAGACTTGTTTGCTTATTGCTTATTTGAGTGAAATAGTAGTAAGGATAAATAATGCATGTTTACTTGGAAGAGGTTGGCATGGATTTGAACAAGGACAAAGTAAGTTGAAGTCATTATTTTTCTTAGGATTGCATAGAGGAAGATCATCCTTTGAAGTATGCAAAGATATTCACTACAAAGCAAAAAGTGACAACAATAATGATGGCAAGTTGACATATGCAAGATTAAAAGACAATGATATGGTAGCAAATGTAAAGTTGACTAAATTAGATGGACTAATAGACAAGAAGATAATAATTTGGGATCCCTTGATGATGCACATGGCAACCTATATTTGACATGAATTTGATATCAAAACAAGGATCTATAATACAATGAGGATGGCATAAGAAGCCAAGCAAAGAATATAGTGGGCATGGTATAATTCGCTCTAATTTATAAGTTTCTAACAATGCTAGACTTAGCAGAGAAATTGACTAGGATATATTGAGTATTAGAGCCGAAGATGCAAGGAAAAATGAGGCTCTAGAGCCACCAAGCTTTGCCACTTGAATAGAGAGAAGTGTCAAGGTCGATACTTGGATTGAGTATTTGAAAGTTGAACTAACATTGTGGAATATTGGTACCATTAGTATAGTAGAAAAAAGTTGTATGTTTGTTATTATAGATGAATGAGTCACATAAGGATCTTCATGAAATATAACATTGTCATGTACTGTAAAGTGTACTTGAGGATGCACTAAGCATTTGACTATGAAAGATAAAATAGAATTTGTAACAAGAAAGTCTTAATAACTCTAATACAATCTTAAAAAATTGTAATTAAATCTTAACAATGCTAATCCATCTTTAATTAAAATCAAAATAAGTCTTGAAGAAATTACAAAAGAATCATAAAAAAATTAAAAATTAATTTTAAAAAATATTATAATTTAAAAAAAATGAATATCAAAGAAATCTTAAAGAAATATGAAAAATAAAAACCTTAAATGAATCCTAACCAAATTCTAATATAATCTTAAATAAGTCCTAATCAAATTCTAATCAAATTCTAAATCTTAATCAAACTTTAAATAAATCTTCATCAAATCTTAATTAAATCTTAATGAAATCTTAAATTAATTCTAATTAAATGCTAATATAATCCTAAATTAATCCTAATCAAAT